TCACATCAACTAGCAATATGGTATTAATTGATGTTGCATCGTCCACCTCCACTAATAGGCCTGAATAATCATTTAAGTCCATTAGTAAATAAAGGCATGGGCTTTGAGAGTCGATGAAAAATTGGGCTCGGATTTTTCTATTTTCGAAATTTATTAATATCATGAAATAAAAATAATTTTAGGAAGTCTAGAATTACCATTTATATCATGAAAAATGCTCTGAAGCTTAGAAAAATCCTAGAGATAAATTGAAGGACGAGGAACTCAGACAAAATATTTGGAGCTCAAGGAAAGATTGTTGAAAACTTGGAACATAAAGATTAAGGTCAAAGAGGTAGGGATTAAATTCCAGAAAGAAGCTGGAAAATTCCTAAAGATAGATACTTGTCTCCTAAATGTATATGTATATATATATATATATATATATATATATATATTGTATATAGAAACACAAGGTGCGACCGGCATGAATGCAACAAACAAGTTTCTACCTTAAGATAAATTTTAATTTAATAAAAATTTATTATTTCCCTATGTTCTCATGTCACACCCAATTTTAAGGATAAAATTGAATGCATAAAACTCATGTGTGCCCAGGGACCAGTCCCACACATAAGTTGACAAATTACAAAAAGTATCATCACGGTGTATCTTACGTCACGATTAATACCATCACATAGTCTTACACAACACAGCGGAAAATAAAAAGGTAGCTCTCTCGTGGTAGCTCCAACACAGGGACGGTCAACTGGTTGACCACAAGCCTAAAAGTCATCTGAAAACTTCTCATATCCGTTGACATATGTTACCCATCCGGGATTTTTATCCAAATATTGAAAGTAAACAGGCGTAAGTACTTCCCGTACTTAATAAGATAACATGGGGTTATGAAAGCTCAAAAGGGTGACTCTGGTTTACTGCGGTTAGCACTTTTAGTAAGTCAAGATTTTATTATCAACTATTATCAAGTTATGCTTAAGCTCCAATTAAACCCACATGATCGGATATCAGAAACAATTGAATCATATTAACTTCATAGAATATCATAAATGAAAAACAATAAGTAACAATTTATTCTGTGAGTTTTTCGGGCCGTCCGTGACCGTGAGCACGGCTGTTATAACAGTTTGTAACACTCTGCAGAGGTTGTGCACTTTAACCGTGAGTCGTGATTCCCATATACCCAGGTTAATTACTCCCATAACACTGCCAAAGTGAGCGGGCGGGGTACATTATGAAGCCATTTCATAGGTTTCTCTAACAAGTTAGGGCTGCTAGGTTTCCTCGGCAAGCAGATGTAGGGACCCCCTTTTCTATGGCACATCTCCATCGCGGCTATACACATAGGAACAGAGGCAACCCTATACCCAACATGGCAAGCCCCTTTTTGCGCCATAAAGGTAACCTCTAACAAGTTAGAAAAGGTCCTATTATTGAGCTAAAGTCAGAGCCATGTGACCCTCACGGTTGCACTGTCAGTTCCAGCTTTTGCCAATAGATAAGTCCTTATGGAGGGCCAAGAGTATCATGATCAAAAGTAATTTGCTCATTCGCCCTATAATTCAGTTGTTTAAAAGCAAATTTTACCTTTTTGTTCTTTAGAACCTTTAGTCATTATGTAGATCATGTACAGTTACATTGAGCGCTAGCAAACTACCCATATGCATATAACCCGTAGGAGACAAGGAAACAGGATACTCAATCACTAGGATGTCCTTACGGTTATCAAAATTAGACACATGCAAATAAGAAATTAATAAATGGTGAATATGACATCAAGGTAGATCCCATGCTATACTTGTCTTGCTCAACGTACTCGGGCTACTCCTGCTGGTCGTCAAAGAACTCTTGGTGTCCAACGTTCTCCTCACCGTCTGAACTTGACCAACAAAGCAACATACAAGCATTCCAAAGGAATTCATGCAAAGCAAACAATTATGGGATTATAATAGTACACCAGGGCATAAAAACAAGATAAAAAGGTTCTTGAAAAGAATCTACGTCTCTCTACGATCACATAGACGTGAAGTTCACGAAAAACGGAGCTAAAACACGAAAATTATGAATTAAACGGGGTTTCCTATAGCAATTTATTTAATTAATTCTAACCTCAAAATTTAAATGTTGCAAACATGTTTGACAGTGGCATTAACATGTAGAGAACTTAATTACGAACCTAACGAAATTTGAACGGGTCGATTCGGAGCTAAAACAACGATTTTATAAGCAAAACAATGCAGTGACATTTCTGTAAATAGAATGAACTATTTTTGAATTTAAATAAATCAGAAAAATCAGGATTTTCATCTGGCCGAGGACTGCGGGTGTAAAAAGAATAAAGACGGGGACTCTTAAGCAATTCTGCCACGCGAAGGGGTATCGGCCATCCTGGGCCATTGGATCAAGGATGGACGGCTCAGATTAGGAAGGGGAAGGGAGAGGGGGAGGCGCCGAGCAGAACAGTGGCGACCGTGGCGGCGCAGCCATTGCCGGCGGCGAGGAGGTCGTCGGCGAGCGGGAAACAAGGCCTTCGGGCCACGATTTGATGAACCGAGGGCGCCGGGAGAGAGAGGATGTGAAGGCGATCTCGCCTAGGACGAGAACGTGGCCGGAGGACACGACCGACGCGGTGGTGGCCATGGCCAGCGGCGAGAGCTCGCCGGCGCACTCGAAAATGGCCATACTAGCCACCATTTGCCATGGGAAAAGGTCGGGGAGAGAAGGAGAGCACGACGAATCTCACCACGGTGAAAATCGGAGAGGAAGGCGGCTCGGGGATGGCGGACCACGTGGAGGGACAGACGGCGGACCTCGGCGCTGCGGTTGCGACTTCCGCGTGCACGGGCGAATGCGAGAGTGGATGCATCAACATGTATCTATCCTTATAGTTCATTTTAATTTCATAAAAAATATTATTTCCTATATTTGAATGCACACATAATTGCATAAATAAATCAAATTTAACTATTTTAAAAGAATGCAAATTTTAGGGTGTTACATCTCATGAGCATAAAAATACAAAATTAAATCATTTTAGCTCTATTTCATGAGAAGCAAATTTTAGGGTGTTATATTTTGTATAATATTACTAAATATACAATTTATATATGTAAAGTTCAAATATACAAGAAAGTATGCACATTTATGTATGTAAAAAATATTTATTACAAAAAACAGATTTTACGATTATTTAGGGACTAAACAACAAGGTTGATCATCATTTACGGTTTAAATATTGTTTAAATGGCCCAAATGACCATTTAGGCGAACCGTGCCTAAAATTCAACCCCATGTATGAGCACAACTTGATGGAATAGTTTGTCAAATTTAGATTTTAAAACGACATAATTCAAAAAACAGTACTTTAAATCCTTAGATATTTTGAGTAACTCCAAATTTTCACAATTTTATTTTGGATATCAAACTAGAAAAAAATGAAGGAACCTGATTTTCAAAACTCTGGATTCTAGTTTTAGGACATTAGAGGAATTGAAGTTAGAGATCCAATTTTGATTTTGTTGAAACAACCAAGCTTTGAGAATTGAAAAGCATGCATTACCAGATTTCAGGGCAGTAAAGCACCGTGGTGAAACCAAATGCACACAAAGGATTATTATTCCAGACACGCATTTCAGTAATAAACTATACACCATGTAATCTCACATAGAAGATCACAGTGAAGCACAAGGCAAGGTATGTTGAATTTTTTAGTAAGCTGTTCGTAATAATCTGATTAATCTAACGAACGAAAGGCCTCCACTTTGTTCTGGAGCACATGATCCTTTTGGTAAAAAGACCCACCATGGAAAGCCAGAAAGACACATGCATGCATTTTTCTTAAAGCAGCTAATAAAGTTATTAAGGGAAAAATACATAATTAAACATGAACGTGCTATCCATGAGAGATTGGTGAAATGCTTGCAGAGCAAGTTATGTAACATTAGCATGAGCCCCTAAACTCTTTCGGAATATATGCTAACTATAACCTATAACGTAGAGGAGCCATGTGCCGATGTGTATTTAGATCCTTTTTCATCATCATTATTATCTTGATGGTGTTCATCATCTCGATTATTTGCGTAGGCACTGATCATACCAGCTGCAAGTTACACATGGGACATGGCTCATGGCTGTAACCAGTGAGGTCGTTGATGATTCCCACGTAAAAACCTCCCATGAGCGACAGTTTAAAAGTCGAGCAGGGTACCTCTTGGATGGACCGACAAGAGCACACAGCACTCATCAGTAGCAATGGCAGCGCCTGTGGCAGCAGTAGTGCTCCTCCTCTTCCTCCTGCAACTGGCCTCCTTGTACCCCAGCGCGATCCTTGCCGATGCGGTGCTTGGTCGGAAGGCGGGACTCCTCGTCATGGACGACGCCGACGAGCCGGCGGAGAGTATTAATACCCCGGCGGCGGCTGGGCCGCCGGGGAGGTACGCCGTGATCTTCGATGCCGGCAGCACGGGGACCCGGATGCACGTCTTCAGGTTCGACAACAAGATGGACCTCGTCGGGATTGGCCACGCCATCGAGTTCTTCGCCAAGGTATAGCCTCATCACAGCACAACGACGAACCCGTGTTTTCTTCCCTCTCTCATTTTCTTTTGGCCCGTTGGCTGATAGTACAAGAAAACCAGCTGCCAGTGCTTGTGTAGTTGTGTACACTGCAACCAAAGAGTATATATGTTATTGTTACTGATTGGGCAATGAGCATGCTGCAGACAGGGAAAAATTGGTTGGATGGTCCTCACAATGTACCGTGATCACCTACCACGGATTCACGACACATGTCTATGTAAAATCATCTAATACACGTATGTGTTAGATAATTTTGCATGCACACGTGTCATCGATTAGTGGTAGGTGCCAACGGATGTCCCATGAGGACTGTCTCTATCGAAGTTTTTCCCTATAGGAGTATAGGTAGTACAAGTAGAATACATTTATGCGTGGATTTCGATAGATAATGTAACCTCGACCTTGTTAATTTGTTGGTGCAGGTGAAGCCTGGGCTAAGCTCATATGCTGGGCAACCCCAAGAGGCCGCAAACTCCATACTACCTCTCGTCAAGAAGGCCAAGAGGGTTGTCCCTTCGCAGCTAATGGAGAAAACCCCTCTTAAGCTTGGAGTACGTGAAAACAAATTCCTACCTTTTTCTTAAGTGAAACACTGTCAATATAATTGAATCATTTATGAAATGCATACATCCTCCTCTGGACTCTAGTCACCAGTTGACAAGGTACAATAATCGCCGTGTTCGGCTGGTAAAGATGGGCTGGCTGGATCACTTTTTTTTTCAGCCAGAACCGTGTTTTTCTCTCCCAAAATACCAGCTTGAACAGTAAATCCGTACCAACATGAACAATACTTCATCTCAGCCGAACACGCGGAATAAGATTATAGGTGATGTGGTCTACTTACAAACAAATGGATCATCACACTCCTTTTTTTTAAAGAAAATTGCGCACTAGAATAAATTTGAATAGTGCATCTAGTATGACCTTTACAGTTTTTTTATTACCAAAATCAAGGGGTTGCATATATAACATGAAACCAAAGAAAACTAATCAAAGCAAAATTGGTGTGAAGCTATATATATATCCACCAGAATTAGCAATATCAACAGGTTCTTTGTGTATCCCTAATGTTTTCTTTTATTGTACCAATCGAATCTTTAGGGAACTGCAGGGTTGAGACTTATCGGAGACGAACGAGCCGACAAGATTCTTGAAGCGGTAATATATTGCATCTTAATTACCTATGGGTTTTGTATCAGCACTTGGCACACACCATCATAGCAGACATGAACATGATAATATATATTAACCGAAGGACTAATTAAAGATATTCCAAATTACATACAGGTTAGGGATCTTGTCCACACCAAGAGCCAATTCCAATACAACCCTGATTGGATCAATGTTATTGAAGGATATCAAGAAGGGTCTTATCTATGGGTATGACTTAGTTTTTGGCAGCCATGCATATATTGACACCCCTCCACATCATGCACACACGCACACTCTACACTATTTGTTGTATGTATATATGTCTATTGTTACAATTTGCTAGCGTATGGCATTTGATGGTGTAGGTTGCTCTAAATTATCTGTTGGATAAACTGGGAGGGGATTACTCCCAGACGGTCGGTGTAGTTGACATGGGAGGTGGATCCTTGCAAATGGCCTATGCCATTTCTGCAAATGATGCCGCAAAGGCTCCTAAAGTACCGGATGGAAATGATCGCTATGTTACAAAAGAGTATCTTAAAGGGAAAGACTATAACATCTATGCTCACAGGTCTGAATTCATCGCATTAGCTTGGATAAAAGGCTAGTTTGTCAATTTTATTAATTATAAGGCGATATATACAAGGAGTGGTCACCGAGAACCTTTAAATTTTCTTGCAGCTACTTGCACTATGGTGCTTTTGCAGCTCGAGTAAAGATTCTAAATGCAAAGTGTGGACAATTTAGTTTCTGCATGCTGCGTGGATTCAAAGGTGTGTATGTTTACCTTGCTCATACAAGCATTTCATTTTTATTTTTATTTCTTTTATAATTTTAAATGTAATGTTCCCTATTTTTTTTAAAAGGTAACTACACATACAATGGGCAGCAATATGATGCAACCGCCTCACCTGAAGGAGCAGTGTATGAAAAATGTAGGGAAGAGATAACTAAGGCACTAAACCTGAGTGCCCCATGTAACACAAAGAGTTGCACCTTCAATGGTGTGTGGAATGGGGGAGGTGCCGTAAGTGACAAAGAGATGGCTACAGAGTTGGCACAAGGCTGTTTGACAAAGAGATTCACCAAAATATGCCCATGGAGTAGGTCATTGAGGTGCCGTAAGTGACCTCTAATGTTCAACAGACATGGCTTCGGGTCGCCACTTCTGCTAAGGGTGTTGTTCTAGTAGAGGATACATCTGATAAGTTATAATGAGGAAGTTGTTCCAGATGCACAAGTGACAATTGAGGACACTATCTTTGTCATTGCCCACAAAGACGACCCTATCCATTGTACAATTGAGGTCAAGGCAGAAGAGCCTTGGTTGACAGAGGATTCATTGACAGAGGCAACATCTTCTTTTACCACTACAACTAGGATGGATGATGTGAAGGCCCTATCTTTGTACACACCGCACATGCACATCAGAACCAACAAATTATCTCCTTCACCATTGACCAGCATAGCAAGATACCATCACAATTCCTACGATAGATCGCCATTTAAACAATGTGCATGCCTTGCACTATATGCGGTGTGTTAAAAGATTTGGGCATTGTTGAGAATGATATGAAGCTCAACAATGATACAATGCAAGACTATACATACCGCTTAATGGATTTTTTGCCACCGTGTCGGACCTTCTCAATCCATCGATAGGTTTAAAATGTCATGCTTTTTGGCGACGCATGGTGACAAAAATTTCTTTGGCTCTTGGTTAGATGTTGCCTCTGTTGTGGTTGTTGCTCATGGTGCAAGCATGTTGTTGTTGGTTCAGTTATCCTACTTAGTTTTTGTAGCTGTTGTTTTTCTGTTGTAATCCTGTTGTTTGTTCGGTCTTGTCAATTTAATTGGCAGCTCTCATGCGATGTTCATGCCTTGTTCGTTTCAAAATGTCATAGCAGAAAAAAACTGGAATAAACCAGATTGGGAAGCCTGAAATGGTGAAACCATATAATACTGATCTGCGTGACCAACAACAGAAAATGATAATGTGTACAACACCAACCAAGCATACTTAGTATTTAGAGAGATATAAATCATTCGGTTGGAAGATTATTTCACACAAGCACGATGACACAAACTCAGCTCAGGTACAGCTGACACGACACAAAGACGCCAGATATAACCATCGACGACCAGAATCATTCTTAGAGCAAAACCAACGCAGGCAGGACGATTGTTGGCGTCACCTTAAAAGATGTGCTCCACGTAGATCCGTATAAATTGAGACAGTAAATTCTACGACGCAGACCAACATATCCTATTTACTTTTTGATCGCACTGCTATCTCTCTCTCCTCAAATGTCGTTTTCAAGAAATTGCTTTTGCATCTTACCAACCAGTAAGGGTCATCCTCCTTTCTCCTTTCTAGCCAGGCTAATGCTTTTTTCTGACGAGACTTTGGGTTCTTCTGCTGAGAGACTGCGAAGCCTGCATCATCCCATTACCTCTCTCTTCCAGATGGCATCCGAGCCTATGTGTCATTGCAAGGCCGCTTGCTATACATGCTGGTGCGTTGGGGACGGCCTAATGGAGGCTTGTGGACTCCTGTGGGACAATCGACTTTTGCATGCATGCATGTGTTTCCATCACTCCAATGGATGGGGTGATGGAAACCGAGATACAACGGTCGACGGTCGGAAAGCCGCCCTACACGCGCCGAAGCCCACCCAAGAAAGAATTGGACCAAGTACAGAGGCGTGTATATATATGCCCGGCCGAGAAGAACCTCTTGCGACGCAGGAGAGCAGGAAGGGTGACGGGAGGTTGTGGCCGGATAAGGTCAGAGCATCCGTCGTTAGCTGACAAAGTTCTATTTTTTTTTTCTTATACTAGCAAATATACCCGTGCATTGCAACGGAATCCGATACACCTTGAAATAGTACTGCATACTATTATTGGACGCGAGTTGTTCTAACTCGTATGAGCACAGATCATGAGTTAGATCACATATGGAACACATAGGGCGTAAGACATGGTATGTTTATCGTATCGAATTTGGATTAGGTTTATTGACATGTACGTGGAGGATGAACTCGAGCCCCCAAGTGAGTTTCTAAAAGCAAGGTAAAAAGAAATTTCTCATCTTTAATACTATATATACATATATATATATATATATTATAGATTGGATGATAAATTATTTAAGATTTCAGTCATAGATTATTTATTATAGAGAAGGATAAATAGTTTAAATTTACATAATACTATATATTTGTTATTTATTATTTTTGTTTATAAAAAATGGAGACAAAAACACGTACACAACTGAACGTGGGTTTCTATCTGGGCAACGTATCAGGTGCAAACCAACCAACTTGTGCAAACTTGAAAACTACCCATCAGGACCACTAGATGCTGATCCAATGGATGGGGTGAGAGGTGGAATTTTTTTGTGCTTAAGCCCCCCACCCGCCGGCCTTTTTTGCGCTTAGGCCCCCTCACCCCATCCATTGGATCAGCATCTAGTGGTCCTGATTGGTAGTTTCCAAGTTTACACAGATTGATTGGTTTGCACCTGATATGTTACCTTCCATATGAGGGAGAAAGGCATAAAGAAACAAAAAAGGAACCAGAAAAGAACACTCGGACGGAATCATATTCCATGCCAAAAAAAGAAAAAGAAAAATAGATGGTTCCATGATTGCCGAAGCCGAGACACTTAAGGATTTTTAGGTTGGACGAAAAATTATTAGTGGCAGAAATTTTATCTCTTTGGTATTAGGTATAGATATAGATATAGATATAGATCACAACGACCGAGATCACTTGAATCACAAGTTGAAACAACTGTGTACACAGTCACACAAATACTTGGTTGCACACCAACAAGGGAATTTATTTTTTAAGATACATTCAAGAGGGAAATAAAGTAGCAGTACTAGATACAAACATACACGGACAACCAATTTTTATATTTTACAAACATACACGGACAACCAATTTTTATATTTTGAACAGTAAATAAGGCGATACGACAAGCCAATCACGAATATTTGACTGCAATTTGGAATTGGTTGGAGTTGGACCTCGAGGACCTATCATTCGCTGCCTTTAGCTGCTCCAGTATTGCGTGGCATAGTGCACGGTTGTCCTTGTCACCATCGACCGTAACCTTTTTCAGGCTGGTCAAGTGTTCAATGCCAACGATGCTTCCCTCCGCCACGTGTCTGGACCTGGAGTCGAAGCCCAGTTCAAGCATCTCAAGCATTGCCATGGATCCTTCCTCGAATTGGATAACTTTGGGTAGATAACCTCCAAGTATCAGGTCCGTGAGCACCGGAAATTTGTGGGTGGCACATGCAACCAGCTCATCACGGTCCTTATAGCATTCCCAACCCACGCACAGAGTCTTGAGGTTGGGCAGCATACACAGCACGCCAAAGAGGTCATC